ATTGTACATATATTATATGCTTAATCCCTGCAATTGCGTATTATATACACATAATATTTGTACCCATTTTCCTGATGTGATGGATCTGGATATTTACATGGCACTACAATTCATCAGCAGAGTTGTGATAGCTTGGCCACAGAGCCATCCTTACCCTAGAGGTGGGATCATTACAGGTGACTTTTTGTCCAATGTGCCAGCAGCCATCTGTGGTCTGGGAGGATTAGTGAAAGTGTCATTGACAAATGATGCAGACTTGGTAAATTCCAGAGCTTTGCCCCCCCCCCCCCCCCCCAGAATTCAGTTGCATCGTTGTATCATTGGGAGCACCATGGTCAGATTAGCCTTGTGTACACAAGGAAGAAGTGAATGACTGTAAAGTGTTCAAGGTAGCGTGTGCACTTCAATGCTTGTCAAATTTCCGATAATCAAATATCACATACCGAAATGTTTCTTTTTCAACAGTCAATGCTGCCTTGACATCTTGTAACTAATTATAATAATATTAATAATAATGTTATTGTTGATTATGAATATGCAAAGCAAAATATTATCAATGAAAATCTTGTAATTACCCAGCAATGGTCTGTTCCGCATTTTGAATTCCAACTATATATATTTAAAAGACACCACATTATATCAATACAAATAAAAAATAGTACCTCTGGTTAGTTATTAACACTTTTCTTTTTAGAAGATTCAAACCAAACCAAATAACATCACTCACATTTTGTCACCTTGGGCTCTGCCAAAAAATAAATTGTTTTTTGTTTTTCCAAAAAAAAAAAAAAAATCAATTTGTGTCTGTCCTACCAAAAAAAAAACCAATAGGATAAATAATTAATGTGTACATGTCGATCAAACAACAAACTTCTTTTTCTAAAATTAAAAATGTTACCAAAGAAAAAAGAACAAAAAAGAAGATGAGGAGAAGAAGAATTTGAAAGAGGGTAAGTGTTTTAAGGATGGTGGTGGTGGTTGTTGCCACTTGTCATTACTCTAGTTTTTAAAATATTTGAATATAAAGTTTACACCAGAGACGGTCATAAGAACAGAAACACTACCACTGGAAAATAATTATGAAGTCATGGAAAGATATGTCTATAAAAAACCTCTACCAAATCCTTTTATAATTGAACATTCACAAAAAAATGATCATTACTGTGACATTGAAGAAGAAGAAGTTATTGAAGAATACAATGCGGTAGAAACAATCATTGGTGAAAAAAATACTGCTTGGATCAGGGTTGGCAAATTGACTGGTCCATTGAGAACTGATGGACCTTGAGCTGGTCCATTGCCATTAATAAAATACTAAATATAGTTAAAATGTTACACTAATGGCAATGGACCATCAATGGATCACCAATGGACCACACATTTGCCAACCCTGGCTTGGATAGTAAATGGAATTGATATCCAAGAAAGGCTCACACAGTACTAGTTAGAACAAAAACCACCAAAAACAAAACCAGAGCATTATGACATTATATTCTTTGGTAACAAAGAAAGTGATGGTTTTTTAAAGATGCTTGGTGAAGATATAGTTGTACAAATGCACAATGATATCAACAGAGAAATTGCATATACAAATGATGAAAATGTCAAGTCAGTATTGTGTAGTATTGTTAATCGTGAGATAAATGAGACTAAAACGAATTTTGGAAAACATTTGGCTGATTTGTTTGAAAACCATTTTACATTGCATTTTGTTAATCATATGTGAGTCTTTTCCTATATTTGATTGATCCTTGATGAGATAAATATAATAAAACTAACCTTTGCTTACATAGGATAAAACTGATGGAGAATGATACTAATTTAGTTTCCGAACCTATGTCTGAAGGAAGTTACATTTGTATATGTTTTGACACCGATCCTTAATGAAATTTTTATAAAACATAAAAAAAAATGGCGTGCTGCATATGGCGAGACATGCCTTAAGGCAAGCTCTGAAGATTGCAATTCCCAGAAAGCAGATGATAAAAATTGATCCCCTGGAAGGAAAATTGATACAATCATTACTTTGAGGGAGGAAGATGAAGAGTTTTCAGTCATTGAAGTAAGTGGACTAAAGACTAGTGCCGTAATCCAAAAAAGGAAAAATTATGGTTGCAAAAGTGGTCACAAAGGTAATTGTGACCACTTTTTATATGCTATAAATACAATTACTACCATCACCATAATTTACGGCACTAGTCTTTAAAGTGGACCTCCATCGAAAAAAAACTGGAGCCATTTCTAAAGTGATTGAATGAAGATTTCAAAAATGCTAAAACTTTAATCAATCAGCTTGTAAAAATTTGTCCAAGTTCTGACATTAGAATGGTTAGGTTATACGGAATGCAATCATATTGTAAATCTTCATTACCATTTTATTATTATCATTTTGTTATCACCACTTGTTTTTACTGACTAATTATTGACATTTATAGTATATGAATTAATTATATATGAATTCAAACTCAATTATTCTGAAATTTACACTATGGAAGAAATATTAAGATTTCCAATGCCTAAAACATGGAAAGATATGTTTAAAGCACATGAGACAGTGATAGGCCTATTAAAATATGAGGTTTGTATAGCAATAGGCAGATTCTCAAAAAATATAGAATATATAATAATATTTTCATTTTCATATTAGCTTCTGTTATTAGAAAGTTCAAAATCAATAAATAATTTTCTGTGGTCTGAATCTGATAATCAAGTCACGACAATGACAACTCGGATGATTTATACTCCAGATAACAATGGCACCAAGAAAATCCAAGAGAATAATATTTATTACTATAAAAATCATTATATTAAAAGAATTTTATTATATGCTCAAGATAAATGTTAGTAGAAACATTTCAAATGTTAAAAAAATTTACTGTTGTTTTTGCTAATTTGATTAATTAAATAGACATTAAAAATTAATTGGATGTATTGTACTGTACAAGGAGGCTTCAAAAAAATTTCGTACATTGTATGAAATGTCATTGAATTATTAGTTTAAACGTGGACAATTTAATTTATATTGATTTTATTAATTTTATTAAAAAGAACAAGGTATATTATTTTTTAATATAGTTTCCAATTTCCACTTCCCATCAGAATTTATTGCTGGATGTTCAGTACTTTGAACATCTGTATCATAAAGTTCTAAAAGTTCATTAGTAGGGTAAAAACGTATTTTTTGGCGCACTTTTTTGCTCCCGCGTCGTACTTTTTGATATATTAGCTCCAAATTTGCTTTTGAGCAATTCTAGAGAATTTAATTGATTTGCTTCGTACCTTGAAGTACGATTGGTTTTCATTTGCGTCGTACCTTGAACTACAATTGGTTTAAATTTCCGTCGTACTTATTTTATTTATGTTGATTTTGACTTTTTTTAGCAATTTGGAACGTAAGTCATACTTTTTTTTACAAGGGTGCCTTGAACTACGATTGATTTAAATTTCCGTCGTAACATTTGATTTTACTTTTTTAAAACGATTTGGAGTACAGGATTAATAGTGTTTATTTTACTTTTTTAAAACGATTTGGAGTACAAGAATAATAGTGTTTATTTTACTTTTTTTTGTATTATAGATTATTAAGAAATGGCTTTAGATTAACTTCTACTATAATAGCTATTATTGATATAGATGATTTAATTAAAAATGATTTTGAAAGCTAAGGTGAGGGTAGCAAAAAATCATAAACGGTAGCAAAATTTTATAATGGTATTTGTTATTCAAACGATTTTTAAACAATGTTAGAAATACATACCTTTTATCAAATAGCAAAATTTTTTTGATTTTTTCGTAATACATAAAAAAATAATAGCAGATCATTCTGGAAAAATACAATACACGCGTTTTCTAAAAAAAAGATCAATAAATAAAAAATTAAATTTTGAACAAAAATTTTTAAGTAGCAAAATTTTCAATTTGAACAAAAAAATATATATTAGTAAAACATATAAAATATACTACCAAAATCGATCATACGTTTTCTAACAGAAATATATAAAAAATGGTTGAACATATCACTTGCCCCAGATGCGGTAAAATATTTCCTAAAGAAGCAAAACGACAGGCCCTTGATAGGCACCTTAATAGAAAATATCCATGCAAACCAAAAGAAACAACTCCAGAACCAGAACAAGTACCAGAACCAAACCCGATACAAAATGAAGTAGATGATTTTGATCTGAGTATTTAAAAGAATTGGATTTATGGGATTATTCAAAGAAAAAAGAATTCAAATCAATTGTATATGAAAATGAAGGAGATTTATTCCCTACTTATACTGAACCACCATCAGATGATATATGGTTTGAGGAATATGGTGTTAAAAAAGATTCAGAAAGAGCACATCAAAATTTAACACCGATGTCATGTTGGCAAGCAATAGTCCCATCTATAGAAAATACAAAATATAGTTTTAATAAATTCATAGATAATCTGGAAAAATACAAAAATCTTCCATATATGCCACAACTCATTGGGATATTCGATATAAGTTGATTAACAAATCTAATAATGTAAATACACATGCGGATTTTTTTATGGTGCCCCCTTTTTTCTCTAAAAAAGGAAACGGTGTAACAAAATATTTCTTCATTAGTGTTTTATTAGTACTAATACTAATTTTAAACGGAAATAACGGGGTTGACTGTGTGTTTGTGGCCTAGTACTAGGCCCTATAAATTATTTTAATTTTTCTTTTTTGAAATAATCGAATTAATGATAATAAATAACGACATACCAAAAATCAGAAAACATGAAAATTTTGCATGCATATTCTACAGTACCTAGGCTACAAGCCATATATACTTATTATGTGTGTTTTTGCATTATTGATTCTCTGAAATTTGCTGTAGTGTACC